CCCCTTCTGGGGACTGAAATGGTCCCCTAATGTCAAAATAACATGTTTTCATCACATGCATGTAACCCCCACACACACACACACACACACACACACACTCTGCAGAGCGCTGTGCTTGGCTCACATGAATAGATTCACTCACATGATCTGCTGAGCTGCTTTGGTGCTGCTCGGACACCCTTTCTCCTCCAGCTTGTCTCGCCGTCCCGTTCCGCCTCCTATGGGTGCCTCTGTGAATCTTTTTAAAGGTGGCGTGGAATGTATGGGAGGGCCGGCTGGTAGGGCCCTTGAGGAGGGAGGGTGATGACTTGGGTCCTTGTCGTAATAGTCTAAGGAAGACCAGCCCTCACAAGTTCATATTTTTTACATGAATCTCCATCCCCTGCCTTCTGAAATGTATAATCCGAGTGTCTGTGTTCTTTGCATCAATGAACATACTTTCTCATTAGAACAGACACTCCATGCTTCCGCAACACTGCTGAATTCCAAATCGAAGAGTAAGGCCTCCCCTCGTAACTCTGATTTCACCCCCCAAACCACACCTATGTCTCATGGGGGGGGGGGGTGGTGGTCATGTGACTAGCACCTTCTACATTCCTTTCTCACTTCGCTGGGATGGGTGAGCAGGGTGTCAGGTAGAGTGAATTGAGTTTAAGCGCAAAGCACTCACAGGTAATGGATGCACATGCCTTGGTGTATACATGGGCGGGACCAGAGGGGCACAGCTGAAAGCTGATTGGCCCCCGGAATGCCAAACTTCCCTGTCACTCATTGATTCAAGACGTATAATTGCCCAATGATAAGGCCCCTCTGTATGAATTATGACCCGTCTTTTGCCCCTGTCTTTAACGTATCCAAAAATTGCCCCTGGCATGCTAGAGGGAAATACCCTTTGCCAAGTATGTTTTCGGGGGGGGGGGCATTTTGGAGTTTATGGCTACGTAGTTAAGGATATTGGCAGTGGAGCTCGGAGGGAATGAACCTGGTGCATTTCTTAATTTGTTGATGGTATATAGAGTCATCCGGAAAACTGCAGCTGGCTCCCAGAATCCCTGTCAAACTGCAGAAACATTGGGGCAGACTTGGGGACAGACCCTTGGTGCTCGTCCCTATCAAACTGCAGAAACATTGGGCCAGACTTGGGGACAGATCCCTGGTGCTCGTCCCTATCAAACTGCAGAAACATTGTCCCAGACTTGGGGACAGACCCCTGGTGCTCGTCCCTATCAAACTGCAGAAACATTGGGGCAGGCTTGGGGACAGACCCCTGGTGCTCGTCCCTGTCAAACTGCAGAAACATTGTCCCAGACTTTGTGACAGACCCCTGGTGCTCGTCCCTATCAAACTGCAGAAACATTGGGGCAGGCTTGGGGACAGACCCCTGGTGCTCGTTCCTGTCAAACTGCAGAAACATTGTCCCAGGCTTGGGGACAGACCCCTGGTGCTCGTTCCTGTCAAACTGCAGAAACATTGTCCCAGGCTTGGGGACAGACCCCTGGTGCTCGTTCCTGTCAAACTGCAGAAACATTGTCCCAGGCTTGGGGACAGACCCCTGGTGCTCGTCCCTATCAAACTGCAGAAACATTGGGGCAGGCTTGGGGACAGACCCCTGGTGCTCGCTCTGTGACTCCACTGTGGATGACAGGATAGCATGATTGTAGAAACTCCATTAGAGAAACTCCATTTTCATGAATAAAATTTTTTTAATTAAGAAGACAAAAAGCCTCTAGGATACACAGATATCATTTGAAATGGAATTAAAGGGAATATAATCTAATTCCACGACATTCCATGAATTTTCATGCATTTTAATAACATGAAATCCCATTTTTTTGCCAAACACCCTTGCCAATTAACACTGAAAATAAAAACAATGCCTTAATTAAGCATAAGACAGGTAATTTATGAACACTTAACCTGCTTTAACTGTATCTGTCAGTATTCTTTTGTCGTTATTCTTTATGTATCATTGATTAGTTGAAAAGTCACATAAAGAGAAGCTTATGAGATGGCTGTACCTCTGAGCCATTTTTCAGTCACGTTATTGACTTCCAAATAACCGATACATTTAATATCTGAATGTCATTGTGTATTCTGTTGGCCGTTTCAGATGAAATTCAAATAACCAAACTGGAATCCATCAGCTCTTCATAACTGACCCCCAGAGCAGTGCACAGAACAGAGGGACTCATGGTACCTCATGGTATGGTATGTATGTGAGGGTTGCCAGTTTGTTTGTTTGTTTGTTTACTTACTTATTTAAATGGGCTTGTTCTGTCAGTGTTTCTCCCCCCACATTTGCATTTGCTTGCCTCGCTGTAATGTTTTCTCTCCAACTACTCACTAATGAGGACAGCAGGGTAGCGATGCACAGATCCCAGATCAGATACATGTAGTACATTTTTATTTGATTTATGTATTTTAATTAAAAACTGTATTAGTGCCTAGAGACAGCAGGATTGTGCTCATTGACACTGATGTCATTCCTTGTATTAGCTGTGTTTATGACGGGTATCTACAGTACACATATTTATATTTATTTGTTAAAATAAGCTTTCAATACACATACTGTAGTGCACCACAACTGGTCTGTGTCTGAATGAACTTCTCTTAATCTTGGTAATTTATCATCCGATCAGCGTGGTGTAATGGGAAATAGTCTGTGTGCCTTGGTGGGTTAGGACGGATTGGTGCCCATGTGATCGGAAGGGCAGCAATTCAAATCCCGTGATCAGGGGAGTGAATTCAGTGACTCTACTTTCTCAAACGTATGTCACTGAATAAAAGCTCCTTCTAAAATGGATTAGTTGCAGAGAAGCTTTTCAGGCTCGCCGTTGGGTTTACGCTGCCAGTGGATGGTCATTATCTGGGATTTGAAGCTGTGTTTCCCCTATGATGTCATCTATCTGCACTACATCCACATCTTAATGGTGAAGGCGAAGGTGTGCTCCTGGCTTTGTCCAGTGCGACAATTAACCTGTGTTAGGAAAGTTCCTTTGGGTCTGATGGCTCAGAATGGTCAACTTCAGATGTATCAGATATATAACTGATTTGATTCCATTGCTGCCTTTTTTCATGCTCTGGGACAGTTGTATAACAGGCATTTCTGGATGTTAACCATTATTCAAAATAGAACTACATCTTTTTAGTGTTTCTTAAGAAAGTTTAAGCTGAAAACCAGGGAAAAAAATCTTGTTGGAGTTACACGGTAGAAGTTAATGAACACAGAATGTATAAATTCTGCCGTTTCGACACCATTCTTATCTTTGTGAGTCCATTTGGGATGCTGATATGTTGACTCCAGTTTCCAATCTCGGAAAGCAAAAAGAATGAAGTGAGGATTTTTCGTCTGCCGTCTCTGGGCTCTAAGGCTAACGAGAGAGGCACTCTGCGTAGTGCGGCTCCGGTGGTTGAAAGGGAGCTTTGGAAATGCTGGTACGACGCCTGGAATGAGATAACACTGACATCTTGACAGGGCTTGATTCTGTTTCGCCTGGAACTCGACTGAAACTCTGCAACCTGGGAGTTGTTAGCATTAGTACGTTTCGTTTTTTTATTTTCAGATGCGGGCAGAGTGCCATCTAAGCCCCGGCAATCATTAACTCAACACCCCAAACACTGAGGCTCAACTAAGTTAGACTTTACCGCCTCCTACTCAGTCTGCACGCCTCACCAAAGCTTCTTTTGATGCCATCGGAAGGGCGGGACTGGATGACGGTTGGAAAATACTTCTTTATTATGAAATATGATGAAGAATTAAGGACTGGATGCCTAATGAGGACACTCGTCGCTTCTGTTGGTTTAGAGTTTGTATTAAAATGCATTACGCATAGTGACATCACAGTAGCATGAAACCTGGGTGAATTACCTGCTGGGATTTTAGCATGTAGAAATTCACCTGGACACAGTACTTCTGTCATCTATAATACGCTATAGATACCTTCATAATACATTATAATGAACAGTGTATTAATAAATTATTACAGCATCTTCTATGGAAAGTCATAAGACATTATAGTGTTGATTATAATACCTCATAAGCTCCAATGAAGCTTTCGTCTATAATGCACTATGGATGCCTTCATAATGCATTATAAGAATTAAGGATGCTTTGTACTGCATTATGAAGGTGTCAATTGTGCATTATAGATGAGAGCTTCATAAAGCACTCACAATGCATAATACGCATTTGTAATGTATAATGTGTGGCTCGGCGATTCTGTGCTGTGATCGGAAGGTCGCTAGTTCAAGCCTGTCTTTGACAGAATAGTGACATGTTTGTTGGCCCTTGAGCAAGACTGTTGACCCTCAGCTCCATGGGCATCCCTGATGGTGGCTGCCCTTCGCTGCCAGTCTTGGTCTCACCTACATATGTGTCTGTGTGTCATGGAGAGTGAGATGAGGTAGGCAGGCAAAAAGAGAATTTCCCCACATGGGATCAATAGTGTCATTATTATAACATCTATGGCTTTTTATAAATATTTATAGCCATGTTTCTAACAGTGTATGAATGCATTTTAATATGTTATAAATGTGCTCATAGATTTTTGTAGACATGGCCTTCATAGAAAGTGTTGCCCGAGTGTCTTTGGAAAGGATTACAGTTTCTTGAAGTCGTGCATCACGCAGTTCAGCATCCGCTAAAGTGATGCCATCTGCGTCAGGATGACAAAGCACCTGCTGGGTGTGTGTTCGTGGCACGAGAGTGAGCACAGCACCAGCAGGGGTCTGGCTCGATGACAAAGACTCAAACATTTGGAATGAAACGTCCGGGATGCTGCATCGCCTGCACGCATGTTTGGTTTGCGGTCAAAAAAATCTTTTTTTTTTTCTTTTTTTCCCCCCAATGTTGCTGGAGAATTTGCAAATGACATCTTTGTCATACTTTTACGATATTTAAGTCGTTTTAGACTCATCATTATCGGTTTTATTGTCTATGTATAGCTAAAGGTTGCACTTTGGGCTGATCATTACTCTGTTTAAAGAAAACTGCATGGCTGCAAAAGTTAATGGAGGTTTGACAGTGTTCGTGATGACCACACAGGCCTTTGGGCGATAACGTTCACCAGTGTTTGTATTATATAATTTATTTATTGCTGTAGCTATTTTTAGTTAGTGAAACTCTTCCTCTGAATGTTCTGTGAAAATGTTTCCCGGCCAGAATGCAGCAGTCTGTCAGTTTTTTTTTTTTTTTTTTTCTTTTCTTTCTTATGAATCCTCTAAGGGGTGAACATGTTCCTCCATGAAATGTGTGGAATCTCCGACCGCACACGTCACTCGTCTTTGCATACTCTTGCCCGGATCGCTCCGAGTGTCGACCCTGTCAACGTGGGATCTTCTGACAAGTGCAGCGTCCGTGATAATCGCAGCTCTGCGGGCCGCGTTTGTCTTGAGCACCTGTCTGTCCCGCTGCCATTTCGCTATTTGCCTATCGCTGACCACTTCACACGCGACGGAGGCTGGCCCTGTCGGGCGGTTTGTTAGACTGGAGTGCAGAAGTGACCTTCAGTAACACCATTATCAGCGTGTGCATAGCCGCCGACACAGGATTTATCAAAACAACAACCTGTAGTCGTGATAGACGGACGACCCGGGTATGTCAGAATACTCCCATTCCCGCATAGTCCCTGAGTGAATCCTGTTTAACAGATTGGCTTTTTTTCGCCTACTCAAATTACGCTTCACTTTTCCCTTGTGTGTTGTATTGGGAACCAGAACTCGTTCAATCCTCATATAATCCAACGATGAACTTCCAAAGCCCACAGAACTTGCCTCTTCAGTTTGTATATGGGTAGCACAAGGACCACCCACTTGTTCCGTGATGCCGTTATACTCCATTGCTAATGTAATTTGGCTAGCTCCGTGATCTTACAGTAATAACTCGGTTGGGGTAGACGGTTCTCCCTAGCCTCACTTATGTGGTTGCTGTCGAGCAAGAACAGTGCCCAGAGGTTATCGTAAGTCCAAAACCTTGGCTTTGTGAAATGCCGTAGCCCTCATTCGATTTTACAAGAGGTGGAAAGTTGCCGTTGACACAGTGGCATTGATTTTGTGCTCTAGTCAGCTGGGAGGGTTTTGATCAATTGTGGGCGGTCCCCTGGGTCCAGGGAAGCCTCCGGTCCGATTTTTCGGTACCTGGCATTCCGTGTTTCCTCTTATGTGCCAAAGATACCCAGAGGAACAGGAGGGGGGAAAAAGGCTTGGGGTTTAAAATGGATTCCGAGTCTAGAGTTCCCATTTACATCTCACTTAAGAGAAACTCATTTATTCTCATTTTGTCTGCTAAAGCCAGGGACAGCAGAGTAAAACAATACATTAAAGAGGAAACCTCGCGCCCTGTAGTATAGCTGAGAGCCCGTGAACAGCTCTTTGTTTCATAATGTATTCCATTTAATTCTGTAATAAAGCAGGTTGGAGTAATTTGTCAATTTCTGGTTCGAGCTCAATTTGATGTTCGTCTCGTCGAAGCTGTGCAGATCTGGCATGCAGCTGCACGGGGGCTAAAATAGCCAGCTGTCTGCGGTAGAAAACATGCCGCCCACAACTATACCTGGGCTTGTTTTGCTTTTTCCACTAATGCAGTGAGGTACGCTGGGTAATATGTTTCTGCGATTGTCACACTAAAGGGACAGAAAAGGCAGCAATTTTAAACCGCCCTGAGTGGCTGTATTGACACCCAGCAGCACTCTTTACTGCGGGGAGCCGGCAGGGTAGTAATTTCAAACCAGCGGTGAAGCTGCATTCTGTAGCTCGACGCTTCTAGTACTCTATGATAGACCAATTAATAATTCTTTAAGGCTGGTTAACAGAAGGAGGCCATAACTTGACAATTCTTCTGATTTTGAACTTTGGAACAACTTCCTTGTCTAATTTACTTACTTGTTTTAGGCTTCTGCTTCAAAATAACTGCCTGAATCACCTTCTCTAGCTCCCATGATAAATCGGCTGAAGGTGTTTAGCTGATTTGCATCTTGAAATTGTAAAGTTATAGGGGTAATACAAACCTCTCACGGTAAGTTCAACTCCCAGGTTCAAATCGGCTTTGTTAGAACGGTCGCTTGTGTTCATTTACATGAGAATATATTCCTGAAACACTACAGGTGACAAAACACACTCATAACTGGGTTATTAAGCACTGTTGTCCTGGGGTAGGTGTATTAGTGCAGTAGAGTAATGCATTAGTATAGTAGAGTAAATGCATTGGTACA